TTAGCGTTTGTATTACTCGTTAATTGGTCACCCGATCGCTTCGTGTGTGCTCCATCCCAACATCACGTGATATCATTTAGGAAATTCGATTTTAAATGTAATAAATGATAAATTGCGTATTCGGTAACGTAGCCTGCGCTGTGTGGGAGACGGTGTTGTCGTGTTGTCGTAGACTGCAGATGTGTGTATCCCTCGCGCTGCCAGTCGGAGAGACGGCAGATGGTTACTATGTGCTTGTGTTTTTTCTCCCCCCTCCCTGCTCTCTCTCCCCCCTTTCTGCTTTTACTGCTGGAGACAGTGTCGATAATTGGGAAGCTGGAGAGCAATCAATGAATTCTGTCGTTGTTTCGACTTTAATGATTGTTTCAACTTGTTTAACTATTTTCAACAAGTTCGGTCATGCCTTAATGGTGATCTTAAATCTTTCAGCTTCTTCAAATTTTAAGAATAAACTAAAAAAAAAAGTAAATAAATAACGATCTCTCTCTCTCTCTCTCTCTCTCTCTCTCTCTCTTCTACATCCCCAGAATTACGCTTTACACAGGATTTTAAAGTGATTACCGCGATAGAAAAGTTGAGCATTAAATTTTTAATTTATCGAAAAGTCGGGGGGTCATTTTTCGTCACGTGGCAGAAACACGTGATTAAAAATGGATCGACGTCAATCTCTTTTAGCATATATTCGTCTACTTCAGGTTCCAAAAATTAAAAAAAAAAAAAATTTCGTCACACGCAATAGCGCTCACGTGACTCTTTCGAGTACACTAAACAATTACCGAATTAATATCTATTAAAAAAAAAACAATATAAAATCGGACATATCCTGCCATCTACAAACATAATTGTAAACTATTTTTTAAATATTAAATTATTATTTTTATTTTAAAAATAAATATTTTATTGCTTTTAATGGAATATAATTACTTTATAAATTTAAAATTTAATTTAGTTTCAATATATAAATCGTATTTAAAAATGTATTTTAAACCAGAAAGGTAATTTAATTAGTATATATAAATAACAACAGATGGCGCGAAGTATTAGTATAATTTATTCATTAATTTATTCTTCATAAGGCCAAACCGCCGAACAACGGCCACACGGGGGAAAAATGGCGGCCGTTTAAGGCCTGGATTTTATAATAAATAAGCTGAAGCTTAGAGCCTCGCTTATCCTGAGGCCTCATATTTTTCACACGTGTAGGAGAAGGTCACAAGTGTTTACAGGTTACATTTATAGTTAGAGTATAATATTTTATATGAAAATCTTTGTATCAAAGAAAGATATATTAAAATAACAGTATAGTTTTACAGTATTCAGAGGAATTAATTTAATTTATTATTATATTTTTAAACAAAAGGATCATATATATTAACCTCATATGAAAAAAAGGTAAAAAAAAACATTATTTATATGCAGTTAAATCTTCATAAATACTCTGTTAAACTTGATAAATACGTCATAAAATTATGGAAGAAAGCATTAAAATCTTCCCAGATACAATGTGGAAGACGGCGATTTCATCTAAATGGCATTATGCCTACCAATTCTTTCAGTATAAAGGAAGATAAAAGTCTTGGTATATAATGCATCTTTTCATAGCATCTATCTTTAGTGAACGAAGGTCGAATTGTCTTCAAATTACTCACACAGAATGAGTAATTTTACAAGAGCTCTTTTAAATATCAGCATCCGCATCAACATAGATAAATGCATGATGTAAGAGAAAAAGACCCTTTAAAGCTTGCAAACGTCGCTTGTTTATCGCTCCAAGCCAGCAAAAAACAAAGAAAAAAACAACAAAGAAATTCGACTAATTAAAACACAAATCATGGCATTCCCTCCGATTATAAAATTCGAATTGTTTTACGTCACAATATTCATACCAAGGCCATGGTTAATAAAATAATTATATTTTAATTTGCATAAAATTTATTGGGATAATTATATAATATATGTGTAAGCAATTAAGTTTTACTACATGATAAATTTTGCATAAAAGTCATTCAGAAAATTTCGCATCCTTAATAATATAATTAGATAACTTAATAAACACTATAATAATTACTAAACGCGTAGGAAGTTTAATTTTACTAAGTTATTCAAATTTGAACGTTTGCAATGTTGACACGCTATATATATTTATATGAATAATTTACTCCGCAATATTAGAGTTAACAAATAAATATTTACAGTCCACAGATACGATTATAATTTTGCGCGACGATTATCAACAGATAAATTAATTTGTTGTCCATAAATCTGATGCCATCTTCAACTAAGAACGTCGCCATCTTTATTTTTATTCATTAAAAAGTAATAAACCAATTACTGAGATATGTTACAAAAAGGAAGAACGTTATTGGTCACGAATCGATGACGTCGCAATTAGATTTTTCGAATTTTTAAATTTTAAATATTTATGACGTAAGCGTAATAATAATAAATCTATTTCAAAGCTACGTTACAAAAAATGAAGAAAGGGTATTGGTTAACAGTCGATGACGTCTCAATTCCATTTCAGATTTTAAATTTAAATATTTATGACGTAAGCGTAATAAATGTATTGCAAAAATACGTTACAAAAAAAAAAGGAGGAACGGCATTGGTTACAAATTGACGAATGTGCTGTTCTAAAATTCGAATTTTAAAATTTAAATATTAATGACGTAAGTGTAATAAATTTAAATATTTATGACGTAAACGTAATAATAAATCTATTTCAAAGCTACGTTACAAAAAGATGGAACGGCATTGGCACGAATCTATGACGTAGTAATTCCAATTCAGATTTTTAAATTTAAATATTTATGACGTAAGCTTAGTTAGCACGAATACGGATTCTACGTTACAGTTTGATAATTTTATGTAAAATATATATTTTTTTAAGAAATAAAGCGATATATTTAATCAAAATCTTTACGATACATCTTTTATTCAGATATCAACAGTACATTTTAATTTTTTAGTAAGATGTTTTAAGGGTAAGAAGTTTCTCATTAAGGTAATGGATCCTGTAGAGTTTAGAAAGTAGAATTTACTGACTCGATTTTCTACCGGAAATCAAGTGTAGAAGCATTAAAGTTATTTTATATTTAGAACTAAAGATATTTGGAGTTTTTATTCCATCATTAAAATATAACTTTACAAACATAAAGTATAAAATGAATAAGAGAATAACACTATAACAAAGACTATCTCTTACTTGTAAAATTTCATTTAATTACAGTTTAAGACACTTAAAATTCTTACCGGTTCTTCTATGATTTAAAAGAAATTAAAAATATATAAATTTAAGTATATTCTACTTGATCTATTCTGGTTTTATTCGTACGTATTCATGAATATTTAAGAGTTAATAAAAGTTTCAAACGATTAATCATTTATATACATGCATATAAGTGATATTTGTATACAAAATATTCATCATTCTATATAAAAATAAATAAATAAAATTTATATATATACATAAATTTTAAACAGACAGAGATATATATGGGCTTATATGAAACAATAGAAAATGGCTTTCTCGGTTTTTATTTTTTAAAATGTAAATAGTTTTTCGCGTAGTAGCCTAAAAACTAAATTCTGAATAATAATAATAATAATAATAACCTTTAATGTATTAAATTATACAGTAAAACCTGTGTAAAACGGACCTGTAACGAATACTTTTCCGGTTTGATAGGTTTTCTTTAACACAGAAAATTACTCCGTTACGAAGAATTTTTTCCGTTTTAGGCAGGTTTTACAATATAATTACTGGTTTACTGGTATAAGTGTATAATTATACGCTTTACCAGGGCCGACGAGAGAAAATAACGGGTTCCTCTAAATTTCTAGGGCCGTGGTTCATAGGGGCCCGAACAAGATCCCACAATTTTTACGCGTTAATTAACAGTAGAAAATTAACGGGTGCTTAAGATTAAAATCCGAAGCGAGGTAATAAATTGCCCCAAAACATACAGCTTTAAACAAATCATTTATTTACTTGGGACCTATTTAATTTGTGTTTATAAAATAAACATTTATGTATAATATGTGAATATGTAAAAGATATACATGTTCATATAGTTTTTACGAGCTATTATTTACCCTCTCCCTCCCTACTGCATACAATGTTGTACATTTGGCAAACCTCTCCCCTTTAATTACGTGTACAATAGTTCATGGACCCCCTGACATTGAAGAAATGACTTTAAAAAAGCTCTTCAAATAGTTTATTCACATGACTAGTAAGTCGGCTGGACTTAGACTTGTGGCTCTATGCTGTAACATAGAATAGACCCTTTTTCTCTCCACCGAATAGTAATAAAATGTAAGGCCCTAAGCTATGTGCAAATCCGACTCGCTTATAAGAATAAATTACCCCTAAAAAATAAGTAAATACCCCTAAAAATTCTACGTAGACAATGCCTCGAACCCCCTCCTCATTGTGTGCTTTGCAGTTTTTTCTCCACCCCCTTAAACTGTATACGTAATTAATGAAAGGCCCCTTAATAAAAACACGTACAATTAATAATTGGATATTAAACGTACTTTACAGTAATTATACGGATTTTAAATCGCTATTTTACGTAAAAGGTAGACCTTTCTGACGTCATTGACAGAGAATTTCGGGCCTTCAGGCCTTATTAATTAAATTATAAGGTATTTGTTATATTAATAGCTAAATAAATTTTTTAAAAAAAAACATGTTTAAAATCGTATTTTAAAAAAAAAATAAAAAACATCAAAAATTTGCCGCCAAATATTTGAATTTCAAAATTATTCATATTTAAAAATCTCAATCTCGCGAGAATATACGTGACGATTTCGTTTAATTAAAAAATAGATTAAAAAAATAAATAAATAAACTACTTGCCGATAATTATAAACGTTATTAAATACTATGAAAATAAAAATAAATTTTAAAAATTTGATAAAAGTTTTGAATCGAGTCGATTAAAAATAAGTGGGAATTTCGATCTGTGTCGACCAATAGGAATTTGTTGCGGAGACGAATGCGGTCTTACAACATGGTAGCTCGCATCGAGTCGACGACGTCGAACGAATTCGATTGTGTAAAATAACTTAGTTTTTGTTTACTTTTTAAACTTAATTATTAAAATGCGTTGAGTTAATTATGTAATTTTACGCGTAAGTGGATTGTATTTAACAATTGTAACATGAAATTGTTATCCGTTGGATATTTTATAAGTCTATTATTAGTATCTGTCTTCACTTGTGTGTTATCAAATCAAGATGAAGTTCCTACTTCCAATGACATTGAAGAATTGGATGTGTCTTCCAAGCCAAAGTTTGCTATTTCTTTAGGACCCAACCAAAACTTAGATAAAAATTCCGTCGCTGGTAAATATTCTTTTCATATTCTTTAATTACAATTTAAAAACCGGCTAATTACGAATTTACACGTAAAGAATTGCTAACGTTCCAATTTTCATGTTATATTCGAGAGTTCGTATGGGGCCTGGGGTAGATTGGACACCTTTACTCCTTAGTGAACCCTATTTTCCAAGATGTGAACTTTGAATGAGGGGTTTCCCATCCACCCCAGAATTGTAGAACCTCTGTAAGACCAAATAAGTCAAAGGAACCCTACCTGTGCGTGTGACCCTTTGCCGGATATTTGCCTCCGAAAGTAAGTTTTTATCGTTTACCGGTACACTGCCCATTTTCCGTGCTCCGAGTTCGTCGGGGCTCGCCTCCGCCGATGTGGAGCGTGTAGTCGTGCACTTCGGTGCGAATGGACTACTTTGACGCCCGTGTGGGGCTTGCCCTCGCGCCTTCCTAAAACTGATTGAAAGGGCCACTCGAAGTCGGCGTGGTCGTTCGGGCTAAATAATTAAATACAATAGAGTCGTGTCACACTGTTAAGATTATCTTGCAAAAGGTCTTGCAAAGTAGTATGGTTTTTGATTTTTTGTTTTGGTTCTAAAAGTGTGGCGTATGGCTCCGACGATCTCGTTCGGAGATGTAATTCTACCTGTTTCTTTAAAACAAATTAAATACGTAATGCTTGTTTATTAATAAAAATTAGTCTTTCTGGAATCTTATGTTTTGTTAGTAAATATAACATTCAATTTATAGTGGTAGGAGTTTACAGGAAAAGTCTTCAGCTACTTCCATTGAAGGTCCATTACATTACGGTGTACTCGGTTAGCTGGAACTCATGGGGATTGGTAGATGCCGGGTAAATGTAGTTTTCAGTTGCTTGAGACTTACTATTAAACCCTTAACTGGTTTCTTGGGGGCCGCGCGGCCCCCACGCGTCATATTTTTACGATTTTCTAAAAATCGAAATATCGTGCGCATCTGCCATTTTATGTAATCTTATTACGTCACGACTCTTAGCGAGTGCCAAATGTTCGGCTTTGTAGCACTTACAAGGATGGAGCTATGTACCTTCTGGGGGCCGCGCAGCCCCCACGATATCAGTTACGTTGGTTTTTTGTGGAAATGTGTTTTTATGTTTTTTTTATTTTTACAATTATTTTGCAAAGATATCTCAACCTTGCATCAAAAATTCAAAATGACTACCAAAGAATCATTTGAACTGCTAATAGATGATAATATTATACAAATTGCTAGATCAAGCCGAAATCTCCTGAAAAGAGTATGTTGTCATTTTGTGCTGGAAAAAAAGATGGTAAATATGCTACTAAGTGCAACAGTTGTTTGAAATTTATTTGCAAAGTGCATAGTACTACAAAAATACTATGTGATAACTCTCAAGACTGAACTACGTAATTGCGTTAAAATGTTCCTGAGTCTTAAAAATAGAAGTGATTATATTACCTGTGGTTTTTTAACAAATGATAGTTAGAGGCTATAAGAGATACTTTTTTATAAGATTAGTTTCTTAAGAATAAGAAAAAAAAATATCTTTGGTAAAAACTTACAATAGGGTAGATTTTTGTATTGTTAAAAAAAGCATACACCAAAAGTTGTAACAATTTTGTGATCTCTTGTAATAATTAAGTAAAGAAAATTATATAAATAAATAAAAGTTGATTATACTAAAGAAGGGTTCCATTTAGCATTTATGTACTTTTGAACTGTCACATTGTTAAATTTGCTCTCTAAAGGCAAATTTTGCTTGGGGCCCGCGCAGCCCCCATGATACCAGTTACGTTTGAAAAATTTACGATACCAGTTAAGGGTTTAAAAATGGCCTAACTAATACTATACCTTGTAAATACCATACCATAAATTCTGTATTGACAACATTAATATTGAAATACAGCAATTAAAAGCAAATAAAGACAAACTGGGTTGGGTGAGAACCCAAAATTTGAATAAGTGTAGATCCCATCTGACCGATATGTTTGTGATGAATTTGTGCGAGTAGGAGACAAATATATGGCGCATGAAGTGTGGGCTTACTCACTGTGCAAGTGTGCCAAGTTTAACCTTACATTTCCACTAGAAATTTATTTTATTTTTTATTTGAAGTATTATTTTTTCAATTTTTTTGCCAGAGATTTCTGATCTTGTTAACAGAGAGTCTATTTTGACAATAACTTTGTTTTAACCATGAAATTTACCTAATAAACAATACCTAAATATATAATCCCTGTTTAATTTTGATTAAATTCAATTAATTATAGCTACCTGATTAATTAGCAAATAATAATAATACATTGTTGTTATAGCTTATTTATTGTATAGAGAAAATAATTTAAATGTGTTTTTATATGTGTTAGACTATAGAATATAAACAAAACACAAAAAAGCCTTGAAATAAGAATTCTTTTTTTCAGCCGAAGACATTTTCAGAATTTTATTCTAACTTTTTAAAGGTTAAAGTACTTTCCTTATTGTAACATTTAAAGAAATATCAAACAAAAAATTTAATTCAAAGTCTTTGGTTTTCTAATGTTTGAATACATAATCTCAAAGCACATATCAATTCTTTCACACAAAAGAATTCTGTTCTGTTTGCATAAAAGAATTTAATGTTAGGCAAAGGCATTTTATCCATCTGAAGACGGAATAAAGTTTGATACAATAAAAGTTTTGTCTTAAAAATTGTTGGACTTTCTAATGCCATAAATTTTTTGTTTAGCATATAAAATTTTTAAAAAATAATAATAATTTTAAAATTCTTTATTTACATATTTATTAATTTCTAATTATATATTTAGCTAGATTATTCTCAAAAGTTTTTTTTTATAAATATCACTTTTAACTAAAATTATTATTTATATTATTCTATAAAATATGTTTACATTATGTTATTTTGATAAATTAAAATAATACATTTTTATGATTAAATTTAATTATAATTTTATGTTAAAAATCTGAAGTTGAATAATATAAATTTTTTCTTTTTTATAACATTATTTAGAGATGAATCTTAATCTAAGACAGTTAAAAATAAATTAATAAAATAAATGTAATTATATAACCTAAACGTATAATTAGTATAGCTGAACAGTTTTTTTTAAATTTAAATAATCTTTACTCTATTATAAATTATCAGAAGTAAAAATATCACAGACTGATCATATATCAAATAATTGCTATTTATTTATTTTGCTTCTCATACTCGAAAAATAAACCTGTTCCGTCAAATCATTATAGGATGCCAAGCTCAGGATCTATGATTAAAGTTTCATTATTGCCAAGAAAATCACATGTTACTCACATATTTTCTGACTAATTTTCGTTCCTTTGAAATTAATTTTGTTTTATCGTCATATATTTAATTACATTACAAAGTAGTAAAGAATGATTTCACCATTCATTAATTTTTTAAATTAATTAATGTCTTAAATTTTCTAAATTGAACTTATGTCTGTATATTATATATTAAATATGCCATTCTTTTTTTTAACTTTTTTAAATATATATAGTTAACGCATTTTATATTTAAATACATTTAATATCATTAGGACTTTGTGTTTTTTGAAGTAGGTTTTTCTGTAGTAGCAATTTATCAATAATCTTTTATTGAAAGGTAATTTCATTTTATAGAAATTTGGTACAAAATATCTAGTTCTAATTTAAGTATCTTCAAACAAAATTATATAAATTCATAATTACAATTTAGTGTGTATGTTTTCTTAAGTTTGGAAATCCTAAATATTTTTATTAATTAAAGAAATTGATATTTAGATATATATATAAAAGTAGATTTTTAATTTTTGTGAGTAATTTGAATGCGATACCGATAAAAAAAAAATCATCATATATTTATAGAAACCGATTCTCATTATAAAAACACTTTATAATAGACGACCTTGATTTCCTGTTTGTAAAACTAAAAAACTGCCCAGCAAGTTTTCAGTTTCTTAGGTTATTACTCTATTACTTTCTAATTTTTCTTTCACATACTGAAATTTCTATGTTTGTATGTATGGTTACTTTATTTTTCTCCGAGATGGTCCGTAATAATTCAAAGATGACCTAGCTGCCGTGGTAGCTTAGCCAAATTACTTAACACACCTTTCTAACAGTCAATTGTGCAACCTGTTTGTTTTTAATTTACATATTTTATCTTGAAGAGATTTATACATTCTCTCTTAATTATAAATCTTTTTATTATGAGTGAAAAAAATCTTAAAAAATATAGTTGAATAATTTACATTTCAGATAGAAGAAATATTAATTTGATTTAATTTTTGCTTTTTAATTGAAGAGTTCATATTCTATTTGATGTTGATAAAGTTTATTTTGTATAAACCTTGTACGAGCCCTATAATTTGATTTGAAATTCAGTTATTTTATATTATATTACCATAATTTAGTTAAAAATCTATTTTATATATTGCGGCAAGTTTAGAATTTTTAATAATGATTTGTGTAAAATACCTAGAAAATACAATGCCAAGAAGTTCATTAGTTAGATAGAATGAATATACAGTGGTACCTCAGGTTACGAACGCCCCAGCATACGAAATTTTCAGGATACGACATGAAATTCGAACATATTTTTGCTCCACGATACGAACAAAAACTCACCATACGACGTTACATTAGTTCGCATTTTTCATTTGTTTTTCTTACTACAGTTATTTTTTTAAATGTATTACTTGGCTTTAATTTGAGTATGTTTTTCGCGTTGGAACGAATTATTTGGTTTTACATGTAATCGTATGGGAAAAGATGATTCACCTTACGACATTTTCATGATACGATCTCAGTTTCGGAACGGATTAATTTCGTATCCTGAGGTACCACTGTATCATATTTACTCGCATATAAGACGAGGTTTTTATTCATTTTTTTTGCTCCAAAACCCTAGGTCGTCCTATATGCGCGTTCAAAGGATTCTTTGCATTTTTGCAATAATTTTTGTGAACCATGTATTCGCATTTTTTACCAGATGCTGACCATCTGGTGTTTAA